TTATTAGTGAGTGCTATTTTTATCTTCCCTCTTGCATGCATGCCTGAAGTCCAACATGCATGAACATAACTGCTTCCGTAAAACACTTTTATACCATCACTTTGAAATTTATTGTGCATATTAGAATCAAACAGTACTACATCAGTTTTCTATTCCTCTTTTTTCTGTTTAAAAAAAAAAATCAGAGATGCACCAGTCAGGTCATTATTGTCCAATTGCCCTTTGGCCTGGGCTCAAACCTTTTTCTATGAATTTTTCTAATCATTAAATATATTATAATTCAGAATGCTCTTTTTGCTGATAAAAATTCAATAGAAGACATGTATTTGTTTGCATATACGAGAATATCCCTTTGATTCCTCATTAGGGCAGAATCGGCAAACTTCCTTTCTTTTTTTTTTTTACTCTTGGCGAACACATGAGTTGCTGTTTCCGGTCTGTGTCAACACGTTTTAAAGGCAGGTGAGAGTCCAGGGATATTTCAGTTCTCATTAGATAAGTCTTCTTTCTTCATGCTTTGTTTAAAGATGACAAGCAGGATAGCTACAGGCTTCCAACGAGAAACTTTGAAATATCTACTTAAATGCTAGTTTCTCTCCAGATGTTTAACAATTTTTTTGGAAATCTCGTGTGTAAACAAACAAACAAAACAAAACAAAAAAGCCTTATATGTGGAACTTGCTAAATTTTATATCGCTCTAGATGTCTCAGTGTTATCTGTTGTGTATGTGATGATAAAGTAAAGTATACCTAGCCGGTTCTGTCTGATCATGACTCAAATATCCCAGTTTAACTTCCTGTTTTAGAAAATATGTTGTACGGCATGTCGGAAGCACAGGCTGGGCAGGTGCAGAATGCCTACTTTTGCTGTTTTAAATGCCTTCTGAGGACACGGCTGCAGAACAAGTTAGGATGAGATTAGGTCCAATGTATCGGCTCCTACGCATTAGAGAAGCTACTTCCATCTTTGGCCACTGGAACAAAGGCCATGTTTGCAATATTTCCACCTTGAGCATGTCACCCCACTGGGTTTACTGGACATGCATGACTGCTTTTGTTATGTAATAATGTATGTTTACAGTAACAGTTTTCACGTGGTCACCTTTTACACAGTAGTCAGGATGGGGAATTCTGCCTGGGTTTTGCAGTGATGCCTTGAAAAATCTTGTGAAACTACATTGCAGAAGTTATTTAACTGCACTCCCTTTCTTAGGATGTCAGCTGGAGGGCTAAACCTGGCAATGGCGATCACGTTTAAAAAAAATGTGACGATGATGAAACTTAAACAATCCAGTGCTACAGTTCCTTTTTCACTATCAGGCAACTTGAGTATTTTTTTAATCGTATATACCGTCCAATTTGTAATTATTTGGTTTGAAATCCAATAGAAGCACCTTAATGTTAAACAGTAAATGCATAAAAGGTTTAACTGTAAATGCTAAATAGCTTCTTGTTGCTTTGCTTACTATTCATAGTTTTTTAAACGGATTTGCATGTTAAACTGGTTGAACAATTTCCCACTTATTTATTTATCTGTTGTAACATAGTTCATAAATTAAAACGCATTATATGATTAGACACAGGCTGATCTTTCCCAGCCTTATTTCTGTTAATTATGATTGTCCCCTCTCAGCCCATTCAAACATATTGATAATTAAAATATATCACCCAGATAGAGCTTTTTTATTACAGAAATTGGCGTCTAATGTAAATCAGGTTAATTCCTGCTTAGATTACTTTTTAAAAGGTACTTGCAAATTTTTCAAGCCAGCCCAACAAGAACAGAATCTAATATTGGGTATATATCTTTAATTTATTTCTTTTTATTTTTCCCTACCTGCTAGCTGGAAACAAGCAGGCTGCATGTGCTGCACGGACGGGCGAATTGTTGCAACTCTTCTTTCCCCATGCCTTTGCAACTTTCTAACTGTCCATTATTTTATTACATAACTGAAAAAAAAGGGGGGGGGGGTTGAAAATGAGCTGTTATCAAGATCTCACCTGTATTTTCAAAGCTACAACTGCTTGTTTGTTTTTGTTTTTTTCTCTGCATCGCAGACAGGCATTTGCAGAATGCAAGCCACTTTGCTGATAAGCATGACTTTTGAATGTGATAAGATCAGAGTTTACAAATGCTGTTAAACCGCCATAATTCCCTGCACCATTGATGTTTTCACCTCACACATCCCAACGGACTTTAGATGAGGGTGGTGGTGGTCTCATAGGTCAAGATGACAGTCTTTAGTTAAGCTTTTCATGCGGCAGCTACCTGATACAGAGTTCTTCTTGGGTGTGCTTTGGTATTCAGAGGGAAGAGTTTAAAGTGCACTGGAGTGTTTCTACCCCCACCCCCTTCTCTAGTGTGGAAGTCTTTTGGTCAAACCTGCCTGGCTGGAAACAGTAACACCTACGACTATTTACAAGACTCTCTCACGTGTATGACGTTTTCAGACATCTGAATTCTGCAGCAAAGCTTGGGTCTTATGTAAAATGCAGCCTTCGGAGATGTGGCAAAAGCTGCTGGATCACAAGTTTGTGTTTCTTAGTTTTACGTAACTGGTTCAGCCTCCAGGATCAGAATCAGAAGGTACATCACTGTATTTTGATGAGGGAGGAAGATTTCAGGGAAATGAAGCTGGGAAGTGCTGGTTGTTTCAATGGTAAAATTCAGAAGTTTGAGGCATAATCCTGAGGTAGAAGTAGTGAGCCAGATTAGGTTTGTGTTAAAAGCGGGTGTTGGCAGGGGCTATTGCAGACAGTGTTGACACCGAGTAATCTCACAATCCCTGCTTAGAGTTTGCTGGCAACTGTACTTGACCAAAGGTTCTGCAAAGTTAAAATGATTAATTATTTCATGAATTTTAGGAAAGTCCAGGAGATGGGATCTTCACAGCTCTTTTGAACTAATCCTCTTAGGTGGTCTAGAACTCTTGTATTAAAATTTTCAGTAGAACCACAGTGGATGTACCTGTAATAGAAATCAAATTTTTGTTCCCCAATAACAAGTGGGCTTTATGGGGATCGGGTTTCTGACATTTATAAGACTAACTGTACAAACTTGTCTGGAAATGGGGGGGATCAGAAGTATTCCACATATAACCATAATATAAAGTCTCAATCTGAATACATCCAGTTGTAACTCCTATTCCTTTACCTTCACATTCATTTAATGCTAAGAACTGCATCGTGGGTAGAAAAGGAACTCTGACTACTGTGCTGGATCCAGAAAGCCAACAACCATTAAGCGATAGGAATACATATGGATGATGCTAGTCAAAATACCTGAAGCTGTCTACCAAATCAAACCAGTATATGAGAGTGTGTGCATTTGCATGTGTCGCATATAGTAAACATTAAGTATTAATGTATTTCTAATTTCTGTGAGGTGGCTGCATCTATACGGCATGTCAGGAAAAAAATGTGGGATTCTTTATGGCTCCTTGGCACCAGATTAGAACGTTGTATACTCCCTATGCTAAAGGAACTATGATGGAAAGCAAACAGGCTCCCTTTTCTACCTCCTTCCTTGCTGTCAGCAGTATTCAGAAAGCACTTATCATGAAAAACTGTTATGTGCATCTGCTTTGGCTTTACAGTCTTTTTCAATTTGATGTATTTGGATTGAGCCATATTCTCAGACACACTTCTAGATAGAACTGATGAGATCCTTTCCAGTGGTAGAACATGTTAAAGGACTTATTTTAGTTTAAACAATCTGCAGCTTAGCTTGCAGATCCTCTCAAATAGCCCACCCATTCTTTAAAATCCGGGCGTCTTTCGAGTAAACTCCTTCTTTCTCACTAACCATAGATTCTGATGGTAGGTAAGGGTTGGGGTATGGATAGACCTGTAAATATAAACTTACACTGTTTATAAATCTTAAGCATGTTGTTTTTCTCTTTAATGATCAAACCAACAAGTCATCATAATAGTAATTAAAAAGAAATTAAGACTGTCCATAGACATTCTTTTCCACACAGTCAGCAAACTAGTTTGAAATAAAGATTATCCTTAAGTATTTCCAAATGGTTGAAGTAATTGTTGATAATGTTCCTGCCTTGCATGGCTGGGTGTGGCATGGACATTTGAATTAGTGGTTTCCTTGAGGAGAGCCAAATGTTATGCAAGGCCTGCAGAAGAATTTTAAGTATTATCTTATGAGTCATGTCTGCATTGGTGCAGTTATTTTTTTTTACCACGTTCGCTTTTCCATCCATGCCTAAACAAACTTTTGCCTTATCAGCTGCTGGTTCGAGTGTATTTTTCATATCCTTCTCTTTTGTTTATCATATATATAATAAATAAGAGGTAAGAAGATCAAGCTGTAGTTGAAATTGGTGAGTCAGAATTGACAAGGTGGTGCAAATGTTTAATATTCTTTAACCCTTCTGTTAAATTTTGGACTCTTAGGTAATGATCTTGTCGCTCAACAGAGACAGAAATTGAGGCTAGTTTTCCTATACGGGTGTTGGCTGGGTGGAGGGCCAGAGGAGGCACAACAATAGCCCCCTTCATGATAACAGAGTCTCCTCTGATTTCTTGCCCGCTCCATGTGAATAATATAATCGTCCAACCCGGAGGGGGGGGGGGGAAACTTGCCTGGCAACTCTGGAGTAGTGTGTTTCAGGGAGTACAGGGTGTGACTGGGAGAGGGATTGAAAGCTAATGGAACTGCTACATGTTAATGTAGAGGGGATGATTATGCATCCATTTCATGACTTTGAATAGTTTTGGTAAGGTGGGTTTAAAAAGGGGCTGTATGTCCCCCTAACCCCAGTTGTCTCTTACGGACGTACAGGACGCTCACACATAGCGCTCACGCTCCCTCTTTTCCTTCCTTTGGCTCTGCCTTTTCCCCTCCCTCTTCTTCTGAAGGCTGGGTATTCATCCACCATGTGAGTCAGGGAGGGTGTGGACTTGTGGAAGACTGCTGGTACCAGTCACAATCTGTCAGCTTTCTTTCTCACTCTCCTACCCGGTCTCCGTCTTGCCTTCCTCTTCCCTCTCTGCTACTTTCTCTCTTTCTTTTTTTTTTTTTTTTTTTTTTTGCTGCTGCCTGCCTTCCTGCACTTGAACTCTGCTGCGAGGTTTTGCCAAACCGTAAAAGGAGATTGGCGCTTCTATTTAAGGGAAAGAAAATAGTCTGTTGTCAAAAAGGTAAGTATTTCAACTTCAATTTGAAGGTAAAATGACTTGGCTGTCTATTATGCTCTCATTTTCTTCTTTTTGGTTTATGTATACGTTTATGTATACGTGACCTTTTTTCCCAGAGTTTTTCTTTCCTTGTTCTTCTCTAGTCTTTGTTCATCATTAACTTCAAACTCGTGAACTCCTTTTTTCCATCTCTATGATTCATTGACATGGCTGTCCTAGAGGGAAAAAGTTACCCCTCCTTTTCTTCATTGCTACAAACCAACGGTTTACTGTCAAACTTCTCTTTTTTTTTCAATGAATGGTAAATGTTTTAGGAATTTTAGTTTCAGGGTTGATGCTGGTGACCGAGATGGAGGACAGATGGCATTTTCTCTGAGCGGCTTAAATATTCACATGTCCACAGTTAAATTGTATCACTGTGTCATGGGAATACCCCCCCCACCCTTTTCACAGTCATGAGAAAATCCTTGTCGTCCTGTGGAGATATCTCGACTTCTGCTGGTATAGGGGGATGGCAAAATATGGTGTATAACCTTTAACACAAGTTGAAGCCTCAAAGTTCTGTTTGATCCTTCAGTTGATGAAAATTGTAGGCAGGGAATTGTATTGGATTTGGGTGAAATGGTTAAAGAGGTTTCCTTGGGCTGGTAATGAAAGGGGTCTCAGTTTCTTTGAATTTCTATCTTCTTCTTCTGGCTCTCAGAAAATGAGAATACTTTTCTTCAATTAGTTGCGATTACAAGATTTTTCTGCTTTGTATAATGAGATTTGTTGGTCTGTGTTTTTCAATTTGAATGTGAAGGGCTAGTTTTTGTAGTTTAACCTAAAATTAGGAACTGTAGTTTAAAATAATAATCTGACTCCAATCTCCTACTAATAATAAATTGAATCATCTCTGCATTTAATCCATTCCCTTGGAGAGCAGTGAGCTGCCACTGTGCGGTGCGCGGGGAGCAGTGTGGGGTTAAGGGTCTTGCTCAGGGACCCAGAGTGGCAGTCTGCTGGAGTGGTGCTTGAACTCAGAACCTCTTGGAGCCAAGTGCAATGGCCTAACCACTAGGCTGCCACTCCCCCTTAACTATTAACTATTGCTTAGTATTACTGCATAGTTATAAAGAATTCTCCTTAAATTATGTCTAATTTTTTTAAATCAAATTCAGACTGGGGTTTACACAAACGTCATTAAACATTAATCCTTACTTGCCCTCTCTTTCTGTAACTTTGGGTTTAAATCTATCCTGAACCTTCACATGGCTCAGTTTCCCTTCCAGGCAGGCCTTGTAAGTGACCTTCTAGTTGCTCTGGATAGCGGTGGCTCAGTTAAGGTGAAAGGATTCGACCGGGTTCTGATTAAATTGTACAGTATTTTCTTTCCCAGAACAAGACACACTCAAGACTTCTGACATTAGTTTTGCCATAATGTCAGGTGCCTCACCAAATGTCCCAACACTGATTCCAAAACAACCTCAGCTTTTTATGTAAGAGCTGTGTGAAATGCCATGTTTCTGGATTGTTATACAACATCAGCACGTGCACGTGTTGTGGCTATGCTTTGGTCTGCACTCTGGCACTGATCCATTTTTTATGTTTTTGTTTTAAAACGCTCAACAAAAGGAAACTGGTCGCTTAGCTGACAAATTTGTCTGGTATGCCACTCTTTCACCTGGAATCTTTGCAGGAAGTAACGAAGGAAGTTTATGAGGTTTTGACAAAATGTGGTGATAAACGAGTGGAAAAATTTAGAAAGGGCTACAAAGGGAATGAGGAAAAAACGTGTCACTATTATTTTTCCATCTTTTGCTTTCGGAGTACATGTTCGTATTTGGCTAATCACTGACTGGTATTTGGAAAACTTTTCACCAAGAGTAAACTACTGTCAGATTTCCATGATTGTGTTTGGCAAAACACAAGGTGCATTTTCTCCATAACATTTCCCCTGCAATTTTTTTCTTTTCTCATGTATATCCTCCCTTCCCCTCCCTCTTTACAGGTACTCTGTTATCTCGGCTCTAACCTTCATTCCAGATACAGAAATTATCGTCTAATGATATTAGCTTAAGGAAGGCCGTGGGCAGTGAAAACTCAACATTGTAGATTGTTCTTCAAACAATGGTCTTCTCAGGTCAAGCCGCACCCTGGAAATCTTTACCTTTCAGCTTCCACCTAAGTTTTTTCTTTTTTCTTTTTATATATTTTCAATAACTTAAACTGGAGCCTGCAGCATCGTTCCTGAACAATACTAGTCAGTATTTGTACATTTTAATAGTGTTTCTTTGCCAAGGAGGGGTTCTTGTCATGGAAATTGTATTGTCAGGGTTGAGTTTTGGTACTCTGTGAACTCTTTGACCAATAGTTGCATAACTTTCAGGGTTTTTTTTTTCATTCCCAGTGGAATTTATTCAAGGAAAGCAGTTTGGATATTGTCTTTGAACCCATGGGTCCCGACTACTGAACACAATCGGTTTACTGTGCGATGTGGGTCGTGGCACCGCCTCTCGCATATCAGGCCATATCTGATGTAGAGTTTCAGCCAAGAAAAAAAATAAATAAATAAAATATATGTATATATATATGTATATGTATATATATGTATATGTGTATATGTATATATTTTAATAAGAACTGGTACTTAACATTTCAGCAAGTAAAAGCTGAAAGTAATGGGCAGATGCGTTAAAAAAAATTAAAAGGTTTCCATTGGTTTTTGTAGAGAAAACTAATAGTCTGCTGTGATGTTTATTTTTTTCCCACAGATAACTAGGTCTCAACAGTTCACAACTACAGAAATGCTTCGGCAACTTCAGGAGATGGGCTCTCACGCCCTGGATATCTACGACTACCTCGTGGCACAAGTCGGTAGGTGAATTACCAATTGAAATACAGGAGGGGAGTTATTTTTGTTTTCCTTCATCTGATTAAAAAAAGTTATTTTTTAAATCCAGATCCTCGGATAAAGGAATACCCGTTGATGCAGAGTCCTGTTCCGATGACTGCAATATTGTCGGTCTACCTGTTTTTCATTCTGTACCTGGGACCTCGCTTTATGGCCAACCGGAAACCCTTCCAGCTGAAAGAGCCCATGATCGTCTACAACTTCCTGTTGGTTGCTCTGTCAATTTACATTGTGTATGAGGTTAGAATCTTTCACTTTCTCGAAAAATTGAGCTTTATTAAAATCTGTGTCATGTGATGCGTTTGTAATAGAAATATTTTTTTATGTTTAAACTTTTTTTTTTCTTTTTCTCCAGTTTATGATGTCCGGTTGGGCTACTACATATACATGGAGATGTGATGCAATAGATACCTCTGACAGTCCTCAGGCTCTACGGGTACGTTCACAAAACTCAAGAACTTCTAGTTAAGGCAGGGTGTGATTGCTTTAATGTAGACTTTATAAAACTGGACCCGCTGTTAAAGTGATTCGTTTCTCTAGATGGTCCGGGTGGCATGGCTCTTCTGGTTTTCAAAGATAATTGAACTGATGGACACAGTAAGTCCAGTTCTTGTTGCCCTCCTTTGATCATCTGTGGATCAGCTTAATTTGAAGGTGAATAATAATTGTTTGTTTCCTTAGATATTCTTTGTGTTGAGGAAAAAGCACAGCCAGATCTCTTTCCTGCACATCTTTCACCACTCCTTCATGCCATGGACTTGGTGGTGGGGAGTCGGCTATGCTCCCGGTAAGTGCACATCAAGCTGATCTGAAAATAATTAATGAATAGACAGAAGCCTCCCTGTTGGGGTTCAGTTTAGGCATTTCAGACCAGAACAATGGGTTTAGTCTTGTTGGATGTTTTGCCAAAAAAAACTTGTCTTATCTGCTTTAGATGTAACAATTTGAGTGTAGTCTTAACGGCTCCAAGACAATGATTAACCTTAAGGCCGTGTTGATAGTGAGGCTTTCTTGTTTTATTTATGGTAAGGTTGAAGGTTCGAACTGAAGGTTCGAACATAACAGTGGTCTAATGACATTTATGTTTTACCTTAAAAGGTGGAATGGGATCTTTCCACGCTATGGTGAACTCTTCAGTCCACATTATCATGTATTTCTACTATGGCCTTGCTGCTGCTGGACCTCGTTTCCAGAAGTTTTTGTGGTGGAAGAAATACATGACTGCCATTCAGCTGGTAAGAAAACCCCTGGTTGTTCTTTTACGGAAAGTAACTTTAAGACATTTGTTTGTTCCGGTAGTCAATTTACCCCTGATCTTATTTTCTTTTTCCCCCCTCCAACAGACCCAGTTTGTCCTGGTCTCTCTGCATGCCACCCAGTATTACTTTATGGAGAGCTGCGACTACCAGTTCCCCACCATCATTCACCTCATCTGGATGTACGGCACCTTCTTCTTCGTTCTCTTCTCCAACTTCTGGGTCCAGGCCTATGTGAAGGGGAAGCGGCTGCCTAAACAGGAAGTCAAGCAGCAGAAGAATGGCGCAGTGGCATACACAAATGGCAAACACCAAGAGAACGGGAAAGTCCACGAAAACGGCAAAATGTACGAGAACGGCAGCAGTAATGGCATCCATCACCACCCAACTATCAATGGCACCAGCAATGGCTCCACTCCCTACGAGAACGGCCGCTCCCAAAATGGCAAAATGAAAAAGGCTTAGAAACTTTGGAAGTATGACCTAGTCTGCTTATTAAAATTACAGTGGATTCCAAAGATAATTTGACTGTTTTACAGTTTTTTTTTCTTATTTTTTTTTTTTTAGTGTTTTGTGTAAAAACATGGGAGAAAAATGTGGTCAATGACTTCCACAGCTGGGGTTCCACACTTGGTTTGTAGGTTTTGTTGGCGTTTTGCATTGTGGAACCATCGATTGGGACACGGTGAATGAAGAGAAGATGTTTTAAATGTTATGTCTTCACTGATATTGAAAGAAACCTCATAGTTCAGTATCACACTGGTGGCCTTTCAGCCTTATGCTGACCTATCTAACCCCTTCTGTGGACAGAAGACTGTACAGTTTCTATGGAAAAAAAACAAAACAGTTTGTAAATAGTTTTACAGAAAGAGGAAAAAAACTAATTATATTGGTGTGCTTTCTAAATTTTGTTACCTTGTGTATTTAAAATTTAATTGCCAATAAATTGAGTCTTAAATTATCTTTAACATGTTGGCATCTTTTTTAGTACGTGGCATATGAATGACTTGCTGAGTTTTCACTTTATTTTTTAGGTTTTATGTCGTGCTGCATTGCAACAATAAAGGGACTATCTGCACAGCTTGCAAATGCCCCATTCCCAAACAATCTCAAATATGTGGATAAAGTAGGAGGTAAACAAGTGACCTATTGTGCTTCAGCTTTTTCCCTCCCAGTTCATGGCACAAGAGAAGGCATGTTACAGACCGGATTTGCCCCTGAGATTTGGCCACGCGTTTGTTTTGATGAATGGCTAATAATGGATTTGGATTTGCATAATCTATGTATTGCAAAATCAAATCTTAAATGAACAACAGATGAAATATAAAAAAAAAAAAAAAAAAAGACAAGAGGTCAGATGTTTTCTCCAGGTTCTTATTTAAATACTCTTAAGTATTTTTTGCCAGTCTATACTATGCTTCAGATGTCTGATTTACCTTCTCCAACACTTTTTAAAACCAGTTTAGTGACCAGTTTGAGTTCTTTCAGGAAAAAAAGTTGTACTTTTTATTTTACATCTAAGAATTGAGTTCTTCAAACTGTATGAGTTTGGTCTTCATTGGTATTGTGCCCCCCATGGAAAAGTAACTACGGCAAATGCTTCACAGTAAAAATCTGTCCATATAAATCTGATTTAAAAGTAGGAAAGTGATATTTTGAAAGTTAAATTTCTGTAGGATCCAACTGATGGCTGGTCTGTTATGGAGGAGAGACATTTCTTAAGGAGACGATTTAAAGTAATCAATAGTAATGTTAGGATATCTATCCTAACAGTAATGTTCCCTTGCCTGAAAGAGATTTCATATTGGAGTGAGTTAAAACTAAAGTGCTTAAACCCTTGACAGTAAAGCCACTATTAAAGCAGGTTCCTTGTTATTTATAACTATCACACTAAATATTTTGGATGCAATTCTGTACTAAAAAAATGTTTTAATTCCACAAGAAACTATAAAGTGTAAGTCAAGCAACGGCCGTGTTAAAAAGTTCTTCTGTGGTGCTGTTTCTCAGGCTAATTTTATTCAGTATTCACCCCCACCGCTCTGGTGATAGAATATTTCATGGTCCCTTTTTCCTTGTTGCTGATAACATGATTTTAATTTTTTTCTCACCACATGAAAATGGAAAAGTGCTGAGAAAGAGCATAAAGAAAATAGAAAAGAATTAAAAAAACAGGTGTTTTGGTTGAATATAAAACTGTCTTGTTTTAAGATCATCACTTGACTAGACCTGGTGAGACTAAAGACCAAAGAGAATGCAACAATTACAGATTTGGACCCACATTTTAACAATTAGAATCTATTACCAAGTCAGGCACAGCCATCTTAAACAAAAATATTTCTTCTGGCAAAGCATTGTGTATAAAAAGTAGAGTATGCTCCCCCTTCCCTTCCAATGGGTTGGAATAATGTTTACTTTATTACTCAAACAGACGATGGTAACCCATTTTGTCTTCCAGCCTTCTGACCAATACTGAATTGCAATTTTTGAATGCTGGTATACAAATGAACTTGCTCTGCCTTATGCTATAGTTGTAGTAGTCAGCTCTATTAATCTCTCTGCCAAAGGGGCAAAACAAAAAGAGCCATATCAGGTTATGATGTGAGAACTAACGTCTGATATACTTATTAACATAACTACACTTTTCGCATTTGAGCAATACAATATCATATATTATGGCTGCAAATAACCCTTATTTTTCAAATCAATAAATCTGTTTATGTTTCAGATTAATAATTGGATAGCCAAAGGTTCCTTAAAGAGGATTTTTAATTTAATAATGGAC